ACCTCCCGCCTACCAGCCATTTGGAAACCCGCCCTTATTGACAAACGACTCCCTAACACAAAAAATGATACCAGACCCACACTCACAAAAACCACACAGGAGGCCACCACCACACATCCACGCAAAAAACAAACCCAAAGCCACACCGATGACAAGGCACGACCACAAACCAGAAGCCAGACCACAGCTGCATCATTAGCCACTTTAAACCCCTCCAATCCATACATGAAGCAAACTGACACCTCCATGAAGAGGAGACACGACCACGAACGCGAAGCCAGAAAATAGCAAGGCAGCCCAAAATCTTAAACCCCTCTGCAACTCAGACTAACCTGAGCACAACCAAACAGAACACTCCCCCAGCCAATCAGAGCACAGCCAAGCCCCTAACCATTCAGAACACACCTCCACCCAATCAGAACACAGCCAAGCTCCCACCCAATCAGTTCATACCCCCACTGGCAGTTAAAAGGAATAAACAGCTAAGACCACACATTGCTGCTCAAAGCACGAAGCTGAAAGCACCAGCCTGAAGATGACGAATGGGACTTCGTCGAAACGTCGCCAAGACACTTCCAATTTTACGTGGGAGAAAACCCGAACAACCAAAGACCTACATACAAATACCCGCGAAAACCTCAGAAAACAAATATATATATACATACATACATATACATATATATACACACACACAAATACCCCCCCACACACAAACACACACACCTATAATAAAGGTAAAAAAGAATATATGCAGTGTTATCTTCATTTTAAATATCAAAAGGGTTTTGCGGCTCCCAGTGTTTTGTTTTTGGTGGGAAACGGGTCCAAGTGGCTCTTTAAGTGTTTTGGGTTGCCTACCCCTGAACTAGACATACCCAACTCCAGCAACCATTCCTTATATGTTTTAGCCTCCAGTCCCCTAATCATCTTTGTTGCTCTTCTCTGTACTCTTTCTAGAGTCTCAACATCTTTTTTACATCGTGGTGACCAAAACTGGATGCAGTATTCCAAGTGTGGCCTTACCAAGGCATTGTAAAGTGGTATTAACACTTCATGTGATCTTGATTCTGTCCCTCTGTTAATGCAGCTTAGTACTGTGTTGGCTTTTTTGGCAGCTGTAGCATACTGCTGGCTCATATTTAAGTGATTGTCCACTAGGACTCTGAGATCCTTCTCACACTACTATTGAGCAAGGTACCACCTATACTATACGTGTGCATTTCGTTTTTCTTGCCTAAATGTAGAATCTTACTTTTTTCACCATTGAATTTCATTTTGTTAAATAGGGCCCAATGTTCAAGTCAAGTCAAGATCTGTCAAGATCTGTCTAGATCCTTCTGTATCTTAAGCCTATCTTCTGGAGTGTTGGCTATTCCTACCAGCTTGGTGTTGTCTGCAAATTTAATGAGTTCCCCATCTATCCCCTCATCCAAATCATTGATGAAGATGTTGAAGAACACTGGGCCCAGAACAGAGCACTGGGGCACCCCACTACACACTTTCCTCCATGTAGATGCAGTTCAATTGAGGACCAAACACTGAATACGGCTGGTCAGCCAGCTCCAAATCCATCTGGTGGTGATGCTATCTAACCCACATTATCAAGTAGTAGGTTGTGATCTATTTTATCAAATGCCTTACTGAAGTTCAAGTAAATTACATCCACAGCATTCCTCTGGTCCACTAATTTTGTCATTTGGTCAAAGAATGCAATAAGATTTGTCTGGCGTGATCTGTTTTTGACAAATCCATGTTGGCTTTTGGTAATGACTTTGTTTGCATCTAGGTGTTCACTGATTTGTTGTTTGATTATCTTTTCCAGAATCTTCCCAGGTATTGAGGTCAAGCTGATAGGTCTGTAGTGTCCTGGATCTGGTTTTTTTCCTTTTTTTGAAGATGGGAACTACATCAGCTCTTTTCCAGTCCTCTGGTAGTTCCCCAGTGCTCCAGGATCTTTGAAAGATATAGTTCAGTGGTTCTGAGATTACATCTGCCAGTTCCTTCAGAACCTTGGTCTGTAATCCATCTGGTCCTTGTGATCTGAACTCGTCTAGGGTGGACAGGTGCTCACTTACCATTTTCTTGCCTATCTTAACTTATGCTTCTAATCTTTTTTTACAGTACTGTTTTTATAGATTAGACTGTTTTTTTCCTTTGTGTAAAGACGGATGCAAAAAATGAGTTAAATACAGTGGTGGGATTCAGCCAGTTTGCACCAGTTTGGTAGAACTGGTAGCTAATTTTTTGTTGCCCAGGCCCAGAATGGACTTCCGGAAGCAGCATCCACACATTCACATATTTGAATCCCACCACTGGTTAAATAGTTCTGCTTTCTCCCTGTTGCTTGTCACCTTCTTGCCATTTTCTCCCACTAATGGACCAATCATTTCCTTAACTTTTTTCTTGTTGTTTACATGTTGAAAGAAGCTTTTTTTGTTATTTTTGACTTTTGTCTCAAGCCTTAGTTCATTTTGAGCCTTAGCTTTTCCTTTGCAGGCTCGGGCTATTTGCTGACATTCTGCTTTAGTTATGTGCCTCCCCTTTTTATACTTGTCCTTTTTGTCTTTCAATTTATCAGAGAGTTCTTTATGCAGCCATGCTGGTTTCTTTTGAGAGCTATTATTTTTCTTCTTTGTTGGTATTGTGCTAGACTGGGCTTTTATAATCTCACTTTTCAAAATTTCTCAAGCTTCTTGAGTTGTTTTACCCTTGAGGATTCTCATCCATGGAATCCTTCCCAAGCTGTCTCTAAGTTTATTGGAATTAGCTCTTTTAAAGTCCAAGACTCTAGTTTGACTGTGTTCTATTGTTTGTGCTTGCATAATGTTGAATTCCAATATTGCATGATCTCTCCCCCACCAAGGTTTCTGTGACTTCAACACCTTCTATCATTTCATCTCTGTTAGTGAGAATTAGGTCCAATATGGCTAATCCCCTAATCCCCTTCTCTACTTTTTGGCAGACAAAGTTGTCTGCTAGGTTTGTCAGGAATCTGTTTGATCTTCCACGTGGTGCAGAGTTTGTCTTCCAGTTGATGTCAGGGTAATTAAATGTTAAATTTAATTGACCACTTTTTCTTCTTCTTTTGTACATGATTCTTTTGTTGTTGTTAGTTTTGTTTGTTTTATTATTTTGTATTTTATTATCTATGATACAACAAATAATAATAATAATGATAATGTAGAATATTTAGGTGAACAACCATACACTTGTTTCTTAATCGTGTGGCACACAACTATATTATGTTTGGTAAATATTATTACATTTAGAGGTATTTTTACATATATCTCTTAAGAAGATTTTCTAAACATTTATGTATGTTTCCCTCTCTGTCAACCACAGAAAATGATACAAGAATGTGATTGGAGCCTGGTATATATCAGTGTGTATGGATTTTATTCATTGCCTTCTTGAGTAATTCAGAGATGAATGGTTCACAGGTAGTTCACAGATTTTGTTTTTAAATTTGAAGATTTCATGCAGACTTTGTACAACAGTAAGAATGGATTCAAAATCTATATTTGTTTTGGTAGTGCTTATAGTTATGCAGATGGACCAACCGGAATTATTGGCTTAATGCAGTCTGCTCCCCAACCTCATTATGATGAGGAAGTACAAAATAGAATGTGTTGATTCTAATTGTTTTCATTACATGTTGATTCTAATTGTTTTCATTTCCATCTATGTGGAAATTTTGTTTAGGGCTTCTTCATGCAAGTCTCTCTATCAAAGAGCCCTGTTGTTGTTTGGAGGATTATGCCACAAATTCCCAGCCCAGCTGAATATCCAAATCATATGGTTGATTTATTATTGGAGTTATTGTTAGATAAATTTCCATCTTTCTCCAAGAATTCAAAGTGACATCCATCACATCCTATGAACATGATCTTTATGAAGTAGGTTGGAATATGTGACAGGGATTATCTCAAGGAATCCAGTGAGCTTGCAGGAATGAGGTGAAGCTGATCCTAAATCTTCCCAATCCTAATTCAACATATTAATCATTAGATTATATTCTAGTACTCTCTTAGATAAAAGACAACATTTGCTTTTTCTCTCAAACTATCAATGGATGTAAGGCAAAGAAATCTGTCTTTTTTCATAGTTTGCACTATTAGGAATATGCCGTGAAAGAGATGGGAAGGGCAAAGAACTGGAAAGAAGCAAAGAAGAATTTGCTCCGTACAGGCACTGCAGTCATCATAATTGAAGCATAATTGTGATAATTCCTTGCTCGGGCAGACTGACCCTTGGATTAATTTGCCTCATGCAGCAATCCGTTTTTGCATTTCTGTTCCCAGCCTATAAATTATTTGCAGTGGGATAGAAAATCACTGCTTCTGCAATACAGGACAGAAATACTAATACAGGACAGAAACACTAATCTGAGTTACCAGGAAAATGTATTTTTGAAGTGCTAGTCAGCACTCTACTCCCACCTAGCCTTCCTCCAACCTGATGCCCTTCAGAAGTGATGGAGCTTCAACTTGCAAAACATCCAGCCTGTATGACTCTGAAGAGTTGTCTCAGTGTACTAAGGACCAAAAGCCAGCAAAAAAAATCTGTTTTACTTTATTAAGTGCAAAATGCAAAACAAGTAAATAACATCTCTATGTAAGCTAGAATCAGAATCTGGGACTTCTTTCACATCTCTTTTTTTTTTTTTAGCCACTGTATGACTTCACACCTTATTGGAAAGGTACACTGTTCACATAGCTGTGAACAGTGCCTCCTAGGGGTGACACTGGGAGTCAGGAAGCATACATCCATCTCTAAATGATTTTGTTGAGTCCCACTGACTCAACAAATAATGGATCCTTATTAAAACTACTGTAAGCAGCTTGCATTGACCCAAAGAATCCCCAGTTAGTGACAAGGGTCCCATTTCCCAGATTTAGCATTAAATTCCAGATCAGCTGCTTTTGGTTAGATGAATCAGCTTCAACCCAGATTGGGCAGTTTAAAATTAAGCAGGCAATTGTGTTCCAACTTTGGGTAGTGTTCCTTTTGTGTGTGAGTGTGACAACACCTGCAGCATCACATATAGTCAGGCATCTTGTGCATGTCTAGAGAAGCCCATAAGCAATCTTTGGATTTTTATAGCTCTCAGGACCATTTTGCATTCCAGGTAGTGATATATACAGATGTAGCTAAGAAGTAGTATATTATTTGTAGAAAAGTGGCAGGCGATTCGTATGCAGGGGATCCATATTTGGGTCCAGTCCTTGACTGGAAGGAATACTGCATGAACCAAACCTTAGTCTTTGTACAGGGCAAGTGTGTGTGCGCACAATCCACACCCATATGCAGAGCACGGGCACTTTCAGTGTGTGTTCTAGCACACATTACCATTCATACAGCGCCGCCCCCTCACGCTTCCCCCTCCTCGCTCTCTCTCTGTGCCCCTCCCTTCACTCCCTCTATTTCTCTGCTGCTCTCTTCCCCCCTCCGTTGCAGTTCTCCTTTCTTCTTCCAGAGGAAAGGTTCCCCCGCACCCCCACCCCTCCACTCCTGCTCCAGTGGGGGGGGGCGGCTGAGAAGTAGCTTCAGCAGTAGGCAGCCCTCCCAGACTCACCACTATGGCCCCCCTGGGGGATGATGTCTGAGTCCTTGTGGACAGCGCTCTCCAATTTCTCTATGCCCGATTTCCTTGACAGCAGCATGTTTCGCCGCACTAAAAGGTAAAAAAGGTACCAAGGGGAAAGGGAGTGCTCGCCTCCATCCCTCTTCTTCTCCATCCATTGGTAGCCCCTCCCCATGCTTCCCTCTGTTGCTGCCCCTCCATCCTTGCTGCTCCTGTCACTTTCTTCCCTGCCCCTCCTCCTGCTCTCTATTTCTTTCTTTTTCTTTATTTTCCTCCTGCGGCATCCTCCTGCCCTGAAACGCACAGACTCTAAGGCTATTTGTGTCTGTGGGGGTGGTGGGGTGTGATTTCCCCCTCCCTGCAAATCCTGGCCAGGCAGTTCAGGATCCCTGGGGAGGAGGCTGGGGGGGGGGGCTGCAGTGGCTGGTGGGGATGTGGCGCAGTTCATGGAGTAGGGATTGGGGGAAGGGCTTGGGAAGAATAGGATGCCATGGCAACAGCCAGGCAATGTATATGACTGGCAACCCAGCCTATGGAGAAGTGGCATGTTCTTCCTTTTGGTCTGTCCTTCTCTGCACCTTTCTCCCAGATTCCAGCCCAGGAGTGCCCCATCCTCTGAACCCTTTGCTCTGTGATCTGTGAGGATGGTGGGGAGACCAGCGAAGGGGCTGGAGGGAGGGTGAGAGTACCTGGGATGTTACAAGGTGAGGGAGGGGCTGATTTATAGTAGATGGAGAGAGGCAGAGCCAAAGGCATTTTACTGTTGATTCAGAAAGATGGGTGCCTGGAGGCTGAAAGGGAGGGAGTCAGGTGGGGCAGACATTTGGGCTTCTGCTCTTCATTGTGTTTATGCTACCACAGCTGGTACTTAAGAATCCGACATAGGTTCTGTAGCATTTGGAGATGACTGTATGGAAAACAATTTAGAACAGCATAAACTCTTCCCTCTCCCATTCACTGCAGCAACTGATAACTGCTATACAGCAATAATGCGGTTCCTATTGGGTTGGGAGGGTAGTGGTGGGCAAAGCCTGGGAATGGATGCAGATGCCGTGCTCCTGATATGCACTATGCACCTAATGCAACACAGCTGCAGGATTGCTAGGCTGCAGAATTGCACTTTTATCTCTGCAGGTCTCTATGGATTGTGCCACTGTTAATGTTTGCATTGAGGTCTAGCTGCTGTGCTAACATACTAGAAATTTACATATTTCCACCAGAGAGTTTCAGTTAGCTATGTCTCAGCTATCTTTCTGTACAGAGAATAGATCCTTTGTTTAAACATTGATAATTAGAAGGACTGATTTTGGATTGATAACTCAATAAAAAGATAAGATGGGAAAGTGGACATATGCAGGAGATACGTGTCTTGAGGAATGCAAGGGTATAATCAACATAGATGTAAATGATATAGCTCAACCTAGTGACCAGGTGGTTTATAGTAATTCTTTGCATGGAACTACAATAGTAAAAGAGACTTAACCCAGCAAGTTTACGCTTTTTTAAAGCACAGAATGTCTGGGAGACTTAAACAGCACAATATTTGTAGCAAAAGAAGGGAGCAGGACCACAGAAGAGACAGAGAAATACCTTCTGTCCCATTGCTCCATCTATAGGAAAGCTGTGTTCTAAGTTATTCAAGAATTACTTTATTTGAAAAATATTCCTAATTTGTTAATTGGCTGAATGTGTTATTTGAGGAATTCTGACCAGCATTTGTAAGGATTATTTCTCAATAGATTGACCAAGTAGGTTAGGCTGAGAACTGAAAGACTTAATACTGTAACTAAGCAGGAATCCAACTGTATTTTGGGCACTGGAGTTAGAAAAATGAAAAAAGCAGAAAACAGTTCCTGTTACTTCGTAATCTTGGCTATGATTTCTGTAAATGTTTAGAGAAATAGCTGCAAATTAAAAGCTAGCCTAAATTTGATAGTTGCAGCCATATTCCTTGTTCATTTTTCTAGTCTTCTTTAACTTGGGGTCTTCCAAGTTGAATGTAGTGGTATACATCCAGATAAGTTGAATGTAGTGGTATATATCCAGAAGAAATGCTTTCTACCTTGTACATCACAGCATCTCTCTGGTATTTACTAAAGCAGCCAGAGTTTTTCAGCTTTCCATGCAAGTCTGAAAAGAACCATCCTTATCATGTCTTTTTTTTCCCAAAAGCATTGTGCTTGTTCTTGCAAAAATCTGATCTACTTCTTCCTAATCATTTTCAAAATTATCACACCCTCCCTAGCCAAAATCTCTAGATTAGGATTAGAAAAATTGAATAGCTTATATGCAGTCAGGTTTACTCCCATGTGAAAAGGTCGGCATACAATAATTGAGCTGTAAAGATCCAAAGTATAGATGGAAGCAGACAGACAGACAGACATAGAAAGCCACTTTCATATGGCTGTCTAGAGGTCATCTGGAATTTTACAGTGCAGATAGGGAATGCCTAGAAAGTATTTCCCAGTACTTCATTACCTATATATTCTAGTCCTATAAATGAGCATGAAACATACATTGGGAGTTAAAATCAATTTCAAAATAAAAATTCTGGAAGCAGTGTGAAGAAAGAGAAGGGACCTCCAATTCACATGTCCTGTTTGTTAAAAAAAAAAAAAAACAATCCCACTGCTCTTTTGCATATGCATGGCCTGACAGCAGAGCAAGCCAGCTGCACCCTTTTTAAAGCACTATGGAAATGCGGAATATGAATTGTAAACCCGTAATCCTATTTATTTCCAGATATGCAAATGAAAGAGCCCTCTCTTCAAAGAAGGGTTCACTGTTTTGTCTTAAGTACTCACTTTAATCTTTTATACATAAATATGCCACATTTTTATGATAATTTTTTTCAGGGCACCTTAGAAAGTTCAACAGAAATAAAATAAATGAAAGCCAACAATTACATTGGTATGTAATCAGTAAAAGTAATTTATGGCATTTTCTTGCAGTAAGATTCTAGCATGGGATTGCTGGGACCGAGGCTTTTTTTCTTCCATTGCCCCGAAGATGAACTTTCCAAATTATTCCAAACTTAATTCATCTTTCTCAGTGGGGACAACTATGAATCAGGGAGTGATGTGAAATCACATAATGATTCACTATATGGTATGTTAATAATGTCTTAAGAAATTATGTAAGAAAGCACTTTAGTTCACCCAGCCTGTGTAATGATTCTTCTATGAAGTGTCTGGTAGCACCTTTTCAGACTAAGAAATGTATCAAAATGCATACACTCACTTCATATGATGCGGGGCTTGGCTCCTCCTACATTGTCTTTTATGAAGTATGTAAATTTGTATGAGAGTTTCTATAAGTTGGATGTCTTAGATCCGTGGTGGCGAACCTATGGCACGCGTGCCACAGGTGGCAAGCAGAGCCCTCTCTGTGGGCACATGCACCCTCACCCCAGGAAGCCCAGTCCTAAGCTTCAGCTGGGTTTTATAAAACCTTTTCGCTTTAGGCCTCCACCGCCGTGTGCAAAAAAAAAAAAAAAAGGTTCAATCAATCAACCAATTTCAACTTCTCGCAGGGAAAAAAAAGATCTCGCAAAGTTGTAATTGTTTGATTGAACTTTTTAGTCCCACCCAGTCTGCCGTTATCACCACAACCACGCCCACCCACCCAGCACCCGACGATACATAAGTGGGTTTTGGGTTGCAGTTTGGGCACTCAGTCTCTAAAAGGTTCGCCACCACTGTCTTAGATAATCAAAGGTTACATGTGAATCTCCTATTTTTGAAAGCTCAATTGAAAACTGAAATTTGAGGGACTATCTCTCCTCAATTACATCTGCTCTTCCCACCAGATAGGGCAGACATGTCAAACACAAGGCCCGGGGGCCAGATGCAGTCCACGAAGTGGTTTCATGTGGCCCGTGAAGCCATCCTGGAAACAGTGAGGGAATGGCCCCCGCTGCCTTGGCCCTGGCCCAGGCCAGCCAGGAGCCAGTGTACAATTTTGTGGTGGCCATCTTGGCATTTGCCCTGGTGGACCATGCCTTGACACTTGCCCCAGTCCCACCCCCTTCTGCCAGAGACCCTCAGATCTGTCCCACTCCTGCCCAGGCCCCCCATAGGCACCCTTGATGCGAATGATGTAGAACTGACCACACCCACCCAGTAGGCCACACCCACTCCATCTACACCCACCCATTAGGCTGCACCCACTCTGGCCACACCCATCTGCCCCCCCAGGGCAACCGCAATGCTGATGCAGCCCTCAGTGAAATTGAGTTTGACACCCCTGTGATAGGGCAAGAGAGGCACGCTTCAGGTCCTGTCTTTCAGGGAATCACACTTGATAGGCCTGAGGAGGCGGGACTCCTCTGCTGTTGCACCCACCTTATGGAACATTCTCCCCTTCCCCCCGAAATGAGGCCAGCTCCATCCATCGTCAATTTCCTGAAGTCCCTGAAGATCTGATTTGTCATTGGTCCTGTAGATCTCAGCAGACCAGTGAAATCTTGAGGTGGTTCCATTGCTGATCAAATCTCTTCTTTGCTTTTTTATTAAATGATTGTGCTTGACATCTTTATTGTTTTTATTCTCTTTTTTTGCTGTAGGCTGCTCAGAGTCTCTTCTTATGAGATGGGCAGTCATATAAATTTAATAGACAGACAGACAGACAGACAGACAGACAGACAGACAGATCCCCAAAAGGTATATGGAAATGGCTTTCACTTTCTTCCAAATGCCATTTTTTAAAACTTCCCAATCTGGCCCAAGTCCTGCGATTTCTTTACCAGAGCTACAGAGTGTAACATCAACACTTGAACTTGGCTCCCAAAGACACATAATTCAAAATATTATAAGCAGTTAATAGTGATGAGGTTTGGTTAGACTATCAAGACTTTGCTCTTAAAAAGAATCCCAATCCTGCAAACTTAAAATCACAACAGACCTAGTTCTCTTTTCTGAGAGGACAGATAATTTCTGAGATCCATAATCCCAGCCCTTATTTGGAGATTTGACCTTTTTGTAACATGGTCCTGTTTGAGAGTTTGACAAGTGTATAGATCTCTTCTGAGAAAAATATATTTAAATGCATAAATATGTTTAAATGCATAAAATAAAAAATAACAATAAAGTTGTATTT